TCTTCTTCTTCTTCTTCTTCTTCTTCTTCTTCTTCTTCTTCTTCTTCTTCTTCTTCTTCTTCTTCTTCTTCTTCTTCTTCTTCTTCTTCTTCTTCTTCTTCTCCTCCTCCTCCTCCTCCTCCTCCTCCTCCTCCTCCTCCTCCTCCTCCCATTCCCAGCCTATCAGGCTGTGGCCCATAAGGGCCAAGGGAGCTTGCAGGGTTATTATGCGATGTTAATTTGGACAGATGTTATGGCTTGTGTTACAGAGCTTCCGACACAATCTCCACCCTCTCCATAGGCCGCTTGCTTAAGGCACTTGGAAATGTATATGATCTTTTAATAACTTTCTGGCCTGGGGATATTTGCCCTTCCCTTCTCTGTGTTCCTATTGTGATTGGATGTTTGGCAACTTGGATCATGTAAGCTAGGAATCATTTATTTCTGTGAAAGAGAGCAATGTGGCTTAAAGCTGCATGTTCTCCTCGTTATTTAATTTTATCCCACTTTTTTTTTTTTTTTACACAAAATTCAACCTACCTGTAGTAGAGCTAGTCCCTAGTATTCTCCATGGGATATTGTGACACCCCCCTCTGCATTGTGCTTCCTCCCTAGAAACAAAACTGTGTGATGAGCTGCCAGGAGATTCCACAGAGCACCACATCATGGCCAACCCCATGGCTGACTTCGTGGGTGGACAGGAGGATCGTGCTCACAGTCTCTTCCACCATTACAGAAAACGCTTTGGAAAGAGCTATGACACTGAGCAGGAGATGGAACATCGGAAGCACACCTTCACCCACAACATGAGGTGCAAAACCTCAAGGGAAGAAAGAGGCAGAGGGCGGGAGGGAGGCTGGTAGAAGGACAGGAGAGTAATAGCACTTAGACTTATATACCGCTTTACAGGGCTTTCCAGCCCTCTCTAAGCGGTTTACAGAGTCAGCCTATGGCCCCCAATAATTTGGGTCCTCATTTTATCCACCTCGGAAGGATGGAAGGCTGAGTCGACTTTGAGCCTGGTGGGATTCGAACTGCCAAATTGCAAGCAGATGGCAGTAGTAGCCTGCAGTACTGCACTCTAACCACTGCACCAGGGGAGAAAAGAACTAGTTCTTGAATGAAAAGAAGGACTGGGGATAACATGATAGCAACGTTCCAATATTTGAAGGGCTGCCACAAAGGAGAGGAGTGGGCCAACCTATTCCCTAAAGCACCAGAAGCCAGGAGAAAAAGCAATGGGTGGAAATTAATCAAGGAGAGAACCAATCTTGAACTGAGGAAGTATTTCCTGAGAGTTCAAACAATTCATCAGTGGAACGACTTGCCTTCAGAAGTTGTGGGTGCTCCAACACTGGAGGTTTTTAAGAAGAGATTCGACAACCATTTGTCTGAGGTGGTATTGGGTCTCCTGCTTGAGCAGGGGGTTGGACTAGAAGACCTCCAAAGTCCCTTCCAACTCTATTCTATTCTAATTCTAATATACTGGGGGGGAAACCCCACAATTGACTAAAGTCACCCAAGTTACTGCATAAGAATGCATGGCTTGCAAACCACGTTATAGCTAGGCTAAAACATCATGGTAAACTAAAGCCACATGATTGCTTAGGGTAATATATCCAAGACATCCAACTCAGTTATTCTGTATTCTGATGAAAAACATCAGGGGTGGGATTCAAAAATTTTAACAACCGGTTCTGTCGGTGTGGCTTAGGTGGTGGGTGTGGCTTGGTGGTCGTGTCTGGGCGTGGCCAACTCAATTTCACTCACATCGAGGCATGCATCTCCTCACCTGGCCTCTCATGACTGTGGGGATGTTGCAACAGTCATAAATGTGAAAAATGGTCATAAGTCACTTTTTTCAGTGCCATTGTAACTGAATGGTCACTCCACACAAGCAAAGTGCCAGCAAAGGAGGGGGAAAAAACTCCAGAGAAGTTCCAGAGACAGGAAGTCTAGTCCTGCCAAGAATGTTATAAGGGTTAACGGAGAGGCAGTTTCTGTAAGCAACACCAGAATGTTTCCTTCCTGCCTTCCTTACAGGATTAGACCAGTAATTTCTTCTAACAATCGGTTCTCCGAACTGCTTAGAGTGTTAACAACCGGTTCTAGCAAATAGGTGCAAACTGGTAGAATCCCACCCCTGAAAAACATTAGCAGGCATCTTGGCTATATCAGGTGAACTTTCTCCATAATCAATAAATGTGCTCATAATTGAAGGAAAGCCTTGAAAGATACATTCTACAAATAGTTGGTTGCACTTTTTTCTCTTTACTATTCCTTAATATTCTGACTTTAGCGCTGCCATGCCATTTTAATGCAAGTTCAAAGGCTTTCATTGCCCTTTGTACAAAGACATGGGTGGTAAAATGAAAACTTCTTCTCCCATTTCACCAGCCAAGTTTTGCGTTTGTGCTTCACTGGAGACATTAGCATGTAAACCAATCTGATGTTATCCTTTAGTATCAGTGATGAAGTTAGTTTACATCTGAGATTAAATGGCATAATCAAGAACATTATAAAACAACACTTGTCCAAACAAGCAGCTATCAACAAAGAAGTTCCCATAATGTTCCCATAATGTTATCAAAAGTGAAGATTGAAAAACATGTCCAGAAGTCAAGCCTGGATAGTTGAGAGTCCCAAAATTAGTGGGGCTAGCAATTAGAGGGTGATAGGAAGGTGAAATGGGGACCATCCACACTTAAGAGCTGTGGTGGCACATGCAGTGTTGCAGGCTAACTCTACATTCCAATGCCAAGAGTTCGATTCTCACCAGCTCAAGGTTGACTCAGCCTTTCATCCTTCTGAGGTCGGTAAAATAAGGGCCCAGATTGCTGGCGGCAACAGGCTGACTCTGTAAACCGCTCAGAGAGTGCTGTAAAGCACTGTAAGGTGGTATATAAGTCTAAGTGTTATTGCTATTTATTTTCTAGTCCCTCAGGTTTCTAGGAGAAGCCAGGCACCTTGTCCACCATTTTGTGAAGGTGCAAGCCCAACATGTGGGCCATTTCTTCCATTTCAATTGTTTCTTCTTCGTCAAGAAGGTAAAGAAAGCACAATTTGCATAAGAAAGAAAAGACAGAATGCCCTTTTTAGCGGGTGTCCATTGTCTGCTGACTCTCTCCACCCACCTTGATCTTAGGACAGAGGGACCTATAAGAACCAGAAAGTTAGATGATGTACAGTACCTGGCTTAGCTCTTGCCCTTTCTCCTCCTTTCCCAGGTTCGTCCATTCCAAGAATCGAGCCAACCTTCCCTTTAAGCTGGCCCTGAATCACTTGGCTGACCTGACCCTGGAAGAGATGGCTGTGATGAGGGGGAAGCTCAAGAGCACAGCACCCAACAAGGGGCAGCCTTTCCCTGAGGAGATTTACACAGGCCTCATTTTGCCAGAAAGCTTGGACTGGAGGCTCTATGGTATATATTGCTGGTCTGGGAAGAATGTGGTTAGTAAAAGATGAGTCAGCTCAAGTCAAACTTTGTGACAGTCGTTAAGCAGCACAGATGAGTCTTCCAGGCCTTGGTGTAGGATTTTGGTGGATGGTTGGGTTTTGTTTTTTTTCTATTTTAAGTCTAAAGTCATCCAGAGTTATTTTGGAGTTGGGAAACTTCTAAATCTCACACCAGCCACATTGTCTAATTGTTTTCTCTTCGTCATCTTCCTCGTGTTCAATGCAGGTAGTCCTCAACAATTGAGCCCAAAATTTATGTTGTTAAGCACAACGGTTAAGAGAGTTTTGCCCCATTTTACGTCCTTTCTTGACATAGTTGTTAAGTGAATCACTGCAGTTGTTAAGTTAAGTGAATCTCATTTCCTCATTGACGTCACTTATCAGAAAGTCACAAAAGATGATCACATGACCCTGGAATACTGCAACCGTTGTAAATATGAGTCAGTTGTCAAATGTCTGAATTTTGATCACGTGATCCTGGGATACTGCAACAGTCATAAGTGTGAAAAATGGTTATGTCACTTTTTCAGTGCTGTTGCAACTTCAAACGGTCACTAAATAAACTATGGTTAGTCAAGGACTACCTGTACATCTGCGCCTCTAGCCAGCCTTCTATTTCTCCACTGCCACTGAATTCACCTGAGGTGAAAAATAGGCAGTTTTAAATCTATATTATTTATTTATTGTAAATTTGTTTGCCACCCATCTCGTCATAAGGTGACTTACTTGTTCAGCCATCGTGGCCTCCTTGTTCCAAGGTCACACAGCCATTAAGAATGATTTACTGACTTCAAGGTTTGGCTGTGTACTTCATTGTAAGTCAGAAACCAACAAGGGTGTGTGGGTTGATGTTAGGAATAAATCAGTTTCCTGATTTTTTTGCTTTGTTTTTAAGGGTTTTTTTTTTATAGTTTTCATTCAAAGATAGGATTCTCTTCCTTTTCCAACACTGTTTTCATCAGTTTTTTGCAAATTACGGTATAGTACTGTTCTAATTTTCCTTCTATTCTCTTTGACTGTAATTAATAATAGGATGTTTTTGCTGCTGCATAGTATTCACCCAAAATTGGAAAGCAAATGAAATTCCAAGTGAAGATACTATGACGGATAAGATTTTTCAATGGGCCGAAATGAATTTGACACTAGAATTGAAAGAACAAGATAAATCAGAATATTATAAAGTATGGAATAAATTCTATTATTGGAGGGACATGAAAGGGAGTTCACTTAACTGAAATAAAAATTTAAGATAAATAGAAAAGAGGTGAGAGACGTCATACCTGAGGTATGAGAAAAAGAACTAAAAAGATACAAAGGTTAAATGTATATATGTGTATTTTAATGTTTATACCTTTTGATTTTTTCTAAGGTAAAATGTTTTTGACTGAAATGTACATCAAAGAAGACCACCACGTTCAATATTTTTTTAATGTTTATAATTAATGAAACTATTTTTTAAAAAAAAAATAGGATGTTTTTTGCTGATTGCTCACTTGGGCCACGTCTTCACCCAGACCTTACATCTTCTAGAACAGCAGTCACCAACTGGTGGGCCGTGAGAAAATTTTGGTGGGCTGCAGAGAAAACTCACCCCCAGAGCACACCCCAAAGCAATTAATCCAGGCTGCGCTGGAACACAAGGCTTCGCCCACATGGCCTGCGGGAACCCTCCCTGCCCACTCACTCCTTACCCGGCAAACTTGCCTGCTAAATTGCTATTTTTCCTTTTTCCGACCATCATCCATTCTGCTGTTCCAGGAGATTTAGATTAGCTAGGAAGCAGGAAATGGTTGGATTTCTTGCTTTCTAGCTAGTCTTTAGATCAGCCGAACCTCCCTTAGGACTGAAGGTTCTATTATTCAGTGCAGACTCATGGCAAGCAAATTTTATGTGACAGACTGAGCTAGCTGATGGCAGATAGATAGATCACTGAATGATTCTGTGAGCAACTCAATCTGCCTGCCTGCTTTGCCTGATTTTGGGTAAATTTGCTCTTTTTTGAATAAAAAATTCAATATTTACATAAATATTTATAATATTTACATACAAGCCATGCCCAGCCAGTCACATGACCACCAAGCCACACCCACAAATTAGGCCACTCCCACAGAACAGGTTAGTAGTCCCTGGGATTTAAAATTATGAGTTTGGTGGGCCCTGGGGTCCAAAAGGTTGGCAACCCCTGGTCTAGAATCATCCAACAATTACTGTATCAAAACAATACATAATGTAATGATAAGAGGCTTCATATCACCAGCGATAATAGGGGAATTCTAGAAGATTTTGAAACTCATGAATGGAGAGAGAGCCTTAGTCCTCACCTGATGTGACAAAGAGTGGATCTGGATACAAATACTAAATGGCATAGGTAGAAAATGCAAAAGACAAAAATTAAAAACGATTCTTCTGGGGTGGGTGAATGAACGTTAAACATTGTTATAGGTATCCTTTGGATTTTTACTATTGAAAAAGAAAAAAAATGGGATTCTGGTCTTGTTTGGCAGCATCTGAAGATAAGCAGCATCAGAGGAGGTGCGCAGCAGGATGACAAGGCAAGTGTGCAAAAATTTCTCTTTGCTCTTTCCAGGGGCAGTGACTCCTGTCAAAGATCAGGCTGTGTGTGGTTCCTGCTGGAGTTTTTCTACTACAGGATCCCTTGAAGGAGCTCTCTTCCTTAAGGTAGGACCTGCTTGCTTCCTTAGAATTTGGAAGGTGTTGGTTAGGAGTGTGCAAAAAACTTCAATTTTTTTTTAAAAAAAACCCTGTTCCAAAATACATTCATGTTAACTGTTTGAAAAGGAGAATTGAGATCTTGAACATGCACAGAATGTTTCAAGACTGGAAAGTGTTGCATTCCAGTGCTTCACATAATTCTCATGTAGGGGGCTCAAGAATCACTATTTGTCTGTCTGTCTGTCTGTCTGTCTATCCCACCCTCCGTATCTATCTATCTATCTATCTATCTATCTATCTATCTATCTATCTATCT